GTGTGGGAGGCCGCGGGAGCCCCCCCGCAGGTCGATTCCTTCCTATATATGTGTATATATATATACACATTCCCTTATTCCCTACTAACAACCAATAAGTAGAACATTGCATGCAATTCCTGTCAGTGTCAGGCTTTGGCTCTCGGGTGCTGTTGATGGAGTTGGTGAGGCGGGAGTGCAAATCGAGATGCTTAGACGGATGCCTCTTCCTCGCTGGCTTGTAGTGGGTTTAGGGTTTAGGGTTTAGGGTCGTTGCTTTTCCAATGTGTGGTATTGCCAAAAACGGGGGTTGCCTTCGCGACCCCCAAATACCCTTAAGTATTGGAAACGCTCATGCTACTAAAGCATGTCCAGGATCTTTAGATACCAGCGATCGCATAGCACAGATGAGATTGTAGTGGTGCCTCTTCCAGTCCCGTGTCCCGCAGCCTGTGCGCCCGTGCCAGGTGGAAGATGAGGTGTACGAGATTCCGGAGGAGGATTTCGACCGCTTGCTTAAGGCCCAATTACACCTGCGGATTTCATTTGATTTTAAACAATGTGGCACTCCCCCAAAACACATTTTGGGTATTACCTAACATCAGGATCCGCCATGGGCAGCCCAAAGACTCAAGCCTTCTTTCTGGCACTGCCCAGCATGGGCTTGTGTCTCTGACAGACGACCAGCCGTAGGGACTTGTACCAGATGAAAGGGAACTCCCCGTAGAGGAAGACGGATCTGCGTGGCGCATCCGCATCATGTGGCATTGGGTCAGGCGTCACCCAGATAAACCCTTTGGCCTTCAGTAATGTCTACATGCATATATGCACCTACGTTGGTCCCTTGATGCAAGACACCCCCATCTATACAGACCTGGATACGCATCTGTGTTCATGGGTTCCAGGCAGGGCAACTGCAGCTTGCACGCCTTGAGGCCTGGTTGCAATGCAGACTAGCTATAGTCTAAAGTCCCTTAAGGGAGGGATTATGGAGGGGACTATTATAGGGGCTGTTAAGGGGGATACTAGGAGTTTAGATTATAGCTCAGATTACACTGGAGATTTCCCAAATTATTCTTTGCTTTGGTGTTTTGCTGTGGAGATTGACTAGGCAGTGCGGAAGGTCAAACAGAGAAGGGTTTTCTATAAGTTGCGGGTCCTTTTCCAGGGTCCTCGTCCTGACAATTCTGTAACAAAACCTCATTTGTGAAATCCCTACATGGACATGAGCATGCAGCTGCCCTACTTTGAGAAACCCCTCTCACAATTTCTCCCCTGGAGAGCAACAGCGATCCTACACTGCGGCAGGACCCGGCAGCCGGTCTTTGTGCAGGGCCCCTAGTACTCACTGCCACTACTAATAAACATGAGCATGCTCATCGCTAAGGTACTCCTACAGTAGTCTGCGTAATAGATGAATCTGCACTTGTAGTGAAATCAAAAAAGCTGCAGGCGGCAATGTGGTCAACAAAAGCAGGGACGCAAATTGCAACATCCACCGTGATGATTCATGAACGACTGATTGATAACTGCAATTTCTTCGTCCTAGCTTTGTACCCTATATCCTATATCCCCCTATATAGCCCCCAAAAGTACCTCTGATGTTGAGAAAACCTCAGATGTGGGAGACCTGATAAGGCTATGGACAACGATGCCTCGGCAGTGGACCTTCCGGTGCCACGGCTGTGCTGGGATGGAACACCGGTTCCTCTAGCACCTAACTTGAAAGGACCCTGGGGTAAGTCAGCTTACCCACCCTTAAGTAGCCCAACACTTGTCCCCATGAGTAGGTTTAAAAACCCCTAGTAGTAGTCCCTGACTCAGTCACAGAATGGTTTCTTTGATGCTGTTAAGGAACTAAAATTTCGCTATCGTACTATGGTTATAGAAATATCCATGCATACGATTATCCATGTATACGAATATAGATTAATGAGGTTTCCTATAGTCGTGACTTGCTAGGAATCAAGAGCAATCCATTTTTGCGATTCTGCTCGGCATGGTCCGGTGCCTTCAGTCTCTCGCAAACAAAGCACCCAAGCCTTGAAAGGGTTTTAGGGTTTAGGGTCTTGGTGAAATCATTCAGCCGGGGGACTTTGCAATTCCAATCCCTTGTAAGAGGAACCACTCTGCAAGAGTCTCACGGTGGATACTAAAGAAATTTGCCGATCCTGAGTACGTTATCACTTGGGAAGTATGGGGTTATAGAGTATACCAAGGCAATGCAGGGTTCTTAGTATCAACCGTAGGATAGTTATGGGGTCCGGACCCGCCAGGGCTTTGCGTTCGCCTGCCAGCTGCTGATGCTGCTGATGATAATGTTGTGACGGGGTCGCTTTGTTTTTTCCGGACGAGGTCATGTGTGGCGCAGCATAGTCATATGGTCCTTACTTGGGGGATGGAGCTACCAAAAACCTTGAACTAAAGCCTGTGATCTTGGCGATCTCAGTCCAGCAAGCAGTCGCCAGAGAATCCCTATACTCCATCAATATTTCCCAAGGTTTCCTTAACAAAAGCTAGAACAACAACTCCTGCATTCCCCTATTTATTGCCTGGAGAAAGTCTAAGCCCTAAACCTAAACCTCTAAGCCCTAAAGCCTAAACCCGAAGCCCTAAACCCGTAGCCCTAAGCCCTAAACCCTCAGCCCTAAGCCCTAAGCCCTAAACCCTAAACCCCTAAACCACCTATGCCCCAAACCGCCAAACCCTAAACCTCTTGTTGATCCTCAGGCACGCCGTCCAACTAAGCGACCCCGGCCAAGGGGAGCCCTGCCTGAGGATGTGCAATTCTCAGGCTTTTTGGGTTCAGGGTTTAGGTTATATAGGGATAATGGAAAAGAACATGGAAACTACTATAATGGGGGGTATATAGGGCTGATATGGGGGTTATATTGCGATAATGGGAAATAAAATAGAAACTACTACTTAGGTTTTAGGGTTTGGTCTTTGAGGTTTGGAGTTTAGGGTTAGGGGCTCCGGGGTTTGGGGTTTGACGTTTTCAATTTTGGAGTTCCGGGCTTCGTGACGTTCTTCACCTAACGCCATGGTCGTTTAATATGATCAGGGCAATACATGGACAGTAGCATCGGGAAACAGCAGGAGCAAGTGGAAGGCAGGGCTTTTCCCGTACTTCGCATATTTTGCTACTATGCGAGGCACATGAACATAGCGGTGCTAGAGGTGAATTGCCTCCCGTGCTATAGGAGTATGTGCCTGCGGGGGGTGTGCCGGGTCTGGGTGGACAGATTTGAAAGGAAAGGAGTA